TCAGCAGGCCATGTGTTTCCCACAAACGTGACATAATTGTCTTTTTGTCCCTTCATTAACACCTATAACTAGGCTGGAATTTATAAAGATCAGCACAAAAAGACCCCATTGAACACAGTTGTGTCCTGGATGCGATTAACAACAAAACGCAACTCCTGCAGTCAAAAATAGCTCACTTTAAAGAGTACTAACATACATGAGATTTTAAGAAGTGGATTTATTTCATTGTCATCCAGACGTTCTGGCAAAGAGGGAGGAACACAAGGAAGTGTGGATTTATTCACAGCAAAAACCAGTCACTGTCAATGCTCATGAACTCGCTGGTGTTTTAGCAGGCTGGATTTCACAGCGAATCCCTTCCCACAGTCAGTGCAGGTGTACGGCCTCTCTCCTGTGTGAGATCGCTGGTGGGCAGTGAGTTGGGTTGACCACTTGAACCCAGCCCCACAGTGAGAGCACTTGAACGGTTTCTCATCACTATGAACACGTTGATGTGACATCAGGTCCCCAGACCTTTTAAAACACTTCTCACATTCTGGGCATTGAAAAGGTCTCTCCTCTGTGTGAAGTTGCTGGTGTTTAAGCAGATTGGATTTCTGAGCGAATCCCTTCCCACACTCAGTGCAGGTGTATGGCCTCTCCCCAGTGTGCATTCGCTGGTGTACAGTGAGTTGGAATGACCGCCTGAACCCAGTCCCACAGTGGGAGCACCTGAACGGTCTCTCGTCAGTGTGAATACGTTGATGCAACATCAGGTCCCCAGATCTTTTGTAGCATGTCCCACAGTCTGGGCATTTATAAGGTCTGTCCTTTGTGTGAACTTGCTGGTGTTTCAGTAGGGTGGATTTCCGAGCAAATGTCTTCCCACATTCTGAGCAGGTGAATGGTCTCTCCCCAGTGTGAATCCGCTGGTGTTCAATGAGGTCAGATGATTGCTTGAACCCAGACCCACAATGAGAGCAACTGAAGGGTCTCTCACCAGTGTGAACACGTTGATGCAGCTTCAGGGCGCCAGAGCTTTTGTAGCAC